ATACGGCATATTGACAGAAGAAGCTGAAAAAGAACGATGAATCATAGAAAAAACGCCCTAAATGATACAAAGAGAAAAGAGAACGTGGAAAAAAACATAATAACCTTTATGATCATTAATGTTAAGTGTTGTTACGAAATATCGATACGTTCGATACTGTAAAGTTCCTAGATCCATGCTGTTTAGAAAAATCCGAAATTTAGTGCAATTGTCTACATAAATCACTGTTTTCATATAGTGTCTAACTAGTAGTTGTCATGATAGATACATATTCTCTATAACAAAATGAATGGAAAATACAAAAATATATAAAGAGAAAGACAATTTTGAAAATAATTCTGAAAGACAGATATGAATCTGTAATAAGTCACAAAAACAAATAATATATTACTTTTAACGCATCATGAACTATCAAGATTTATTTTACCCAATCGTATAGGATGCATATTTGAAGCTGTACATACGTAAAAAGGCTATTATTTCTAACCAGGCAGATGTTTTTAGATTTCGATAGCTGTAAAACTGACAATGAAAAGAAAACAATCGCAAGAACAAGTATGAATCACTAGTGGATGATGATTTTAGTTTGTCTCCATCGTAAAAACAAGTCACTGCAACGATCAAAAGTGCTATCCACTAAAATAATGTGTAAATATGATGTAGAAGAAAGCCTTAATATTTTATATAATTGAGCCCAGATTTTATGTTACAATGTTAATATGCAATAGGTAAAAGGAAAAAAATTGTCACGTATTGATTTTCCTAAGAAAAATAGGAAATCGAAGGTGAATTTCTAGTTTATCAATAAGTGATAAATTAAGTAGTTAATAAAGATAGTATCCATCACGTATTGTGTTTATGTTAGAAGATTAGAAGTTAAGGTGAGCTTCCTTTATTTTATTTAAACTTGATAAATGAATATAACAGAGACAGAACTTACTTATATAAATAAATAGTATTTGAAGGGGAACAATCATACTCCTAACTCGTGCGATCACATACACATATATACGTTATGGGCAAAATTGAAATGCAGTCAAATTTGAAATTTGCCTAGTCAAAATTACAGTAAAACCTCTCTATAGTGGACACCCTTCGGACTTTTGAAAAGTGTCCACTATAGAGAGGCTATGATTTTCCAAGCAACAACTTTTTTTTTCAAAAAAAGAGGTACATTGTTCTAGATATCCGCAGAACGTTATTTAATGAGCTAATCAACTCCAGCACGTTATTAATTCTCTCTTTGTGAGTTTTATCGTTGAAAGCCTAAAAGTTAGCAATTATTAAAATAATCTTTGATAGAGCTCTTTGAAAGATGTTAGTTAATTTCTACTGGAGATTGGAGACAAGAATGTCACTTGAGAATGCTGAGTGAACACAAAAGAGCTATTGTCCAAATGATACTGAAAATCCAACAAGTTAATATAGAAAAGGTATCATTTAGGAAGCTACACTACAAATGTGCGGAACCAAGACCTGATCAATTTTCAGGAGTTGTATAGAATTGGGGCTGGAGGCGAGAGTGACCTCAGGAAGCTTGTGTCGTACGCTCCGTCACTTTTTAAAGAAAAAACTAAACTTCTGTGTCTAAAAAACGTTTCTCTTATGTAGATATAAATAATAGCTTGATGAGTCTCGTGTAACCTGCGCCTGTGGTGTTTTTAAAATCTTCCAGAATTTCTAAGCTTTTTGGAAGAAACTACTTAATGCTTTACGGAACTGCCGACCAGAACCGGGACTGAAAAATTACGAGTTTGTTCATTTTTTAGCTACTCACAAAGAGATGAAGCTCTCTTATGATTTCTAATGATTCAGACAAAATTAGCGAGCTTTCTATTGAAGAGATAGAGTAGTTCTTTGTCTTCATCTATCTCAACTAACTCTCTCAGCTGTCGATTAGAATCTTGCCAATTGAAAACAGGAATGGAAGACTCTATATTGACAAATACAACAGTCGATAATTGCTGACCGATGACTCGAACCACTCTCTCCAAGCTTCTAAAAGTAGTGTCCACTATATAGAGTTCCAATTCCAGCCAAAATCACCTGCGGGATTGTAAAAAAGTGTCCATTGCACGGAAGGTGGGTGTGAGTGTGGGTGTGAGTGTGGGTGTGTGGGCGTGGGTGTGGGCGTGGGTGAGTGTGGGTGTGGGTGTGGATGTGAGTGTTTTTCTTGTTCTAGAGATACTATCAGCCAAACCCACACCCTTACGCCACCCACACCCACACGCACACCCCTGTTCATTTTAATAATATTCGATGGCTAATGTATCATCTGACATAGTGCTTCCAGACGGTGTGATATTTTATCATGACACCGAGTTTTATCGTATAATTCAACGAACATGTGGTATTTTAGTGGTAGAAATGATGAAGATTCAAGAAATCTCTTCTGTTAATAGTCTTCTTCGCACTGAAATAATTTTGAGTTTCTGATCTCGACTCCAACGATTTTCTTTCATGAAAAAAGAAATTCGGCATCTATCTCAACGATGGTTCATTTAAAATCAAGCCCGGAATTATTATACTAGTCGGAAAGCTCACTAATGCGCTTCGTAATTTTAGTGAAACACTGAGTGTATTAACAAACGGCACAGAAACTATTCTTTCTTATACTTTTTTCAAAAATTTCCATTTATTCAAAAAATACTTCATTTCATTCAAACTTCCGATGATCCAAAGAGTTCAGGGATTCGTTCAGAAACATGTTCCAGATGTTCTATATGTGTTCAAATTACAACTTGATAAGCTCTATTCAATAGTGTAATCAGATTTTCTATAGCTCAAACTATGGGTCCAAAAACTCCAGAAGACTGGCTCATTTCTATACGAATCTTAGATCATATACAGTAAAACTGGTAGGAATTCGTTAAGGAACGTGTTCCAGATGCTCTAATTGTGTTTCAAGTACAACTTGACGACCTATATCCAATGATGTAATTAGCTTTTGCATAAATAAAACTATGTGTCCATCAGTTACAAGTCTTTGGTTCACCTCTATTGGATATACCTCATCATTAATATAATTCTGCGTGTGTGTCGTCTAGTAACCTGTTTTAGACGTCCAGTTTGTTTTCGAAGTAGAGATCGACAAGCTGTATCCATTGTTACAATTGGATTTCCTTTGGCGAAGACCGTTCCTTCGGAATATTGCATAAGAGAGTTGTATGTTAAATGAGTCAGTCCTTTGCTGTATATCACTAAACGATTCGTTCTAAAATTTGTTCTAAGATTCGTATAGGACTAAACCAGTTTTTTGGGATTTTTGGACCCATCGTTAAACCTATAGAAAATCGGATTCCACCATTGGATAGCTCATAGAGTTATACTTGGAACATAAATGCAACATCTGAAACACGTTTCTAAACGAATCCCTGCTAATTTCACTGACGTCATATCTAACCAGGATCAACTAGTATATTTAATATAAATATGAGACGTAGCTGTCGATATTTAAAGACAAAAATTCGAAAAGACAATTCATCCTGTTATCTTTGGTCCACCCTGTATATGATCTGTGCAAATTCACAAATTTCCAGATCGGTTGATGTCATAGCCGTAGTACATTTACTACTTAGACATGGGCTGATAGAATTGGTATAGTTGGGATAGGCAGCCACTCAAATTGAAGATTCTTCAGAAAAAAAAGTTGTTTGGTATTTTTTTTGTTATTAATAGGAAGAACAAAAAAAGTTATTGTTATTAGTAACAATAACAATAAATTCACACCCCACACCCTTATTTGTTCACTTCTTGACGGAGATGTAAAACACAAAACATGCATCTACAAACACACCGTTATAATTAGGAACATACACTGTAGATGATAGAAGCACTAACATCGAGAGTGTGACTATGAATGAAACCTTGATCTCCAACCACACTGAGACTCCCTCATAACCCCACTCATCTTTATCAATGAAAACAATTGTCATTTATTTTTTTAGACAAAAATTTCACTTTACAAAATCTTTAATTAGTTTTATTTTTTCTGATACATGTTAATAGTTCTTCTTATAATACATACAATATCAAAAAGCAAAAAAGGAAAGGTAGGACGTGTTTCGGCCTGCATTGACATGTAATGGTAGTTATTGATTAAACGAAGTTCGATAATAATTTTTTTTCAAAGAAATTCATCATTAGAGATAAACATACTTTGATAAAGCCCTTGATTCAACTTACTATATGAACGTATTAAAATGTAAGAATAAGAAAAACGTTTTTATCTAGTTGATTAAACGAAATATTGAAACTACGTAAAATCTCATTGTTTTAATTATTTTTTCAATAAGAGAAAGTTTAAGAAAATAACTGAATAAATTATTCGATTAAATTAATATTTTACAGTAAAAAGACTATTATGAACAAGATTACAGTGCTTTGTTTTTTATCGAGAAAACTATTCTTAGTAACTTTTTCTTTCTCTATTTAATTTCTCATGACTTATTTATTCGTCCTAAGAATCGACAACACTGAGATAAAAAAAATATAGCATTGTTATGACAAAATAGCTTTCAATAATACTTTCTCTTGGATAGGATTGAACAAACAGAAATCATTCAAAAAATTCCTTGAAATATATAGTTGATTATCAGCTGGTGACATCTAGTGATGATTTTCTAACATAATCCGATGAAAGTATAACATGGACTTATGAATTCGAGTTTGGTCCATTTAAAAAAGCGCATCTATCTTTAATTAATTGTTAATCTTTCGAATAGAAAGTGAATACAAAGTGAAATTGATAAAATAAGAAGAAGAAAATGATTGATTATTTAAGTAAATTACCGATCGAGGTAATTCACAAGATTATGGACAATTTATCGATGTGTGATATTCTTACATCCTTATCTATCGTAAATAAACAACTTCACTCAGTAGCTATGAACTATCATCGCTTTCAACTTGATTTCAAATATGTTAAAAAATGGCAAGATTTTAATTATTTTTGCCATAGATCGTTACTTCTATCATTTCAAATTGTTTCAGTTAAACTGATGAACCAACATGATGCAGTAATGCCAATGAAGATCTATCAATTCTTCTCTGATGTCAAAATTACACAGAATACATTTCCTATTTTAAATTCACTTAGTATATCACATATTGATCATAATCTTTGGAAGTCAATTAAAGATCACATAAGACAAATTAAATCTCTGATTTCTATTTCGATTTATTTATCTACTACATTACCATACAATCCAGCATGTCAATTAACAGTAGATATTCTTCGTGATTTATTATATTGGTCATCAACACTTAAAAATGTTTATCTTGAAGCTGATGATCGATTAGTTGATATTTCTCGTTTCAATCTTCGTCAAGAACAAATTTCTTCAATTGAACATTTAACTTTACGTTATATAACTATCGACATAAAACATTTATATTTAATTGTACCCGATTTACGTTTATTTGATGCAAAAATAGCTTCATTTCATCATATTCAAGATACTTATTTGTATTCTTTTCAACATTTACAACAGCTATCAATTCATGTTAATCGTTTTCATATGTTAACTATTGAGCAATTACTTTATCCTATGATAAAACTAAATCAATTAGTTATTACTGGAAATCAGATGTATAATGATGTATGTGATGGTCTTGCATGGGAACGAATATTAACTAACATCATATCGTTTAAGTTCATGTTTAGTTTTGAAGAAAATCATGATTTAATTCAACTTGATTCATTTCGTTCGTCATTTTGGCTTGAACAAAATCATTGGTATGTTCAATATGATTATTCTAAAATTGGTAAATTTTCATTACTCTATTCGATTCCTTATTTTATGAACACATATCCATGGCTTCGTATGAAAGGATCGATTGTATTCGAATCAACCGGACAACAACCGATAGTATTTTCTAATGTAAATCGTTTAATTGTTGATTATCAACGACCAATAAACAATGAACTTCGAAATCGTTTTACTAACATTGAAGAATTAATTCTTGACGATAATGAGAAAAGTTTTGATATGTTAATCAATGATATTGTTCCATATATTGATATGTTGTTTATTAATTCATTTACTATTAATCAATGTTTTTCAGAATTTGATGAAGATAATTTCGTTCAATTTATAATGAGTATACCTCATTTGTGTTCTGTTACTATTCCAATTGATCTTCTCAGATTATCATTGAACAATTGTTGGCAAAAGATTAAACGACTAAAAATATTGCCAAGACGTCAGATATGGTCTGCCAGATTTATGGAAAAAGGCTTAACATCGAACGAAGTTGATATGTTATGCTCTTCGTTTCGTTCTATGGAACAAATCAGTTTTCATGTTGATATAATGCCATATTTAGTTGAATTTTTAACAAAAATGCCAAAGACATTATCAACTATAGTTATTGAACATTTGATTAATGGTATATCTACTGACATTACAGCTTCTACAACTTACAAATGTATCCGAAGTTTTGCATGCTCACATCGAATTTTTTATAAATTTCATGAAAATGAGC